GGAATTGCGAATAACTTTTTTAGTAAACTCGGTACTTGTTGCTTCTAAAAGTTTGTACTTAGCCATTGGGTATTTCTGAATCAACAATGGTACTTTATCAAATTCGCAGAGATATAGACAAATACTCAGAAGCGGTTTTTATCTAGGCACTCATTCGATCGATCGCTAAAGGGACGATCAATCACAGCTTGTTTAACAACTTAATTTTTACTCTACTGTCTACATTTCAGTAGCTAAAGAAGAACCTAACTAAACTTGATCAATCAAATTTTGCTTCAAGTGACATTCGGACGCGCGGCTTGATGGATTATGACGGGTAGTAGCAACTCAACCTCACTAGGCTGAGAGAATAGTCATGTCGAGTATTGTTTCTGGTCCCCTATGCACGGACCATCGCATGAATTTTTTATTTTGTTGTTTTCCACAAGTGCAAAGTCCACATAGATTCTAGCACTCAGACAGACAGTAGACATAAAATATTGCCACAAGTGTTCAGAGTGCGAAATGGGAAATGATTACACTTCGTGTTATTATTTTAAATTCATGGACGTTCCATTCTTTTTTTCAACACCACGTCATTCTTTCAGACATCTTCCAGACTGACTGCTTGCTTTGAAGTGGAACTCGCTTCTGGCACTAAGCAGATGCCACGTTCTTATCGCAGTTCAGTATTCACACACTTATTGCGGAATATTTGAGTTAGCTTTTCTGAAATCAGACGAAATTTTAGGAAGTTCAGTCACTCTAGGGTTTTAATGACGTCTGTAATTTTAGGCTTTGCGCAACATTCGCAACACTCGTGTGAAAATAGGATTAGGAACGTGACGAATGAATCAGTAGTCGGCTAGCAGCAGTCATTCTTTTGTGTTCACGGAGAAGATATTCAATTTTGGAGAAGCGCTTCTTTTGCTTTTGTTGTGGCATGCCCATGCTTACTTGGTTTTCTCGAGTGTACTACCGCAAGACATCTTAGACATAGTGTGTGAATATGTCCATGAGGTAGGTTCTTCAGCTCACTATCCCAAATACTTGGTAGATTGTACCCTAAAGCACAAAAGTTCTCCTGAATGGTAGTTTACGTGAACAGATTATGGGCGTGAATCGAAAGTCCTCTCGATCAACTGCTTACCGCTCTGTTCATTAAAAGTTGAGAAGCCACCAGTTTCAGCGGTTCCAGAAACAAGCAGTCAAAATTGAAGTACAGTCATTCACTTGAAGGCGAGTGTGTATAACACTCAAACGAGTTTGACTGTTAGGATGGACAGTGCTTTACCTTATTTGCAAGACCGCATAACTATGAGGGAATTGAGAATTCAGATATGTGGCCCTTAAATTTGCTAGAAAAAACTGTAGATAAGCCACAGGCGCTGATGTATTCCACTGCGCTAAATACAAGGATATATTTTTGCTCACATGAGAACCTCAAGGAAACCGGTATACATTCAGATGGATGGAGAGCATACCCTAACCTTACTGACTTGGCGATGGCTACCACAACTCATCGAGAATCATCTCGCTTAGGTATAGGGAGAAATCTTGAAACTGCTTGCGTCCGAAAATATTCAAATCAGGAGATTGGTTTAACGTGATTAACTTCCTTGCCATCATGGTTACGAGCAAATGAGGCATCGTCGCTAACTCTCCTTTCTTGTTACCTAAATATCAAACTCAATATGCTCCTTTGTTTCACGCCCTTCAAGGATGTGTAGTAACCAGAACTTGCTGATCCAACTAAGACTTGATGTGTTATGCGTCCAAACAGGCAAAAATTTACCGGAAGGTCTTGGAAATTTTTTCGGGACCTGATGCCTCAGCTGAACACTCGTATTCTTTGATCGTCTGGGGTTAAGGAAACGCGCTTCCTTATTTTGCAGGAAATCTACCTTTTCACATGCGTTTTAGGTTGCGTGATTTGCTGTGTGTATGCCGTAGACCTGTCGACATGCTATAAACTGGGCCTCGGGCAATAAGATATAAAAGTAACCGAACTACTGTAAGATGATAGGTTGATCTGGGATGACTACGATGAGCGCAATGTAAAATTTTTCCCTCTAGTTACTTTGCGTTGCCACCAGTACATCTCGCTTTGGACAGTGCTCTAGCAGATGTCTTTTTTGGCGCAAAAACACGGGAGTTTTCCAAGTTTACCAAATCCATACGCCTGCAACAATCAAAGTGGACCGAGCTTCAGGCTGACTCGCTCAGCCCTGAGATACCTCTGAAGGCTTCAGCTAACTTGTGATTGCGAAACCCGCAATAGCACAAGCAGTGTTATCACTGAATTAGCCGAGGACCTGTGGCACTACCAAGATACCAAGGCTCTTGAAGACGTCCGCAAACCTGCAATGAGTGTGATGGGGAAGGTGTGAGTTCTATGTGAAAATGACGGGCTAATTAATTTTAAGTTGCTTTCTGGAAATAAAGGTGAAGTATGGTTTACCTATTGCGTTCTGACTTGAGCAATTCCATCTCAGAGAAAAAGATATGCTTGGAAAGCGCCGTTCAGGGCTTCGAAGTCAAGATCGAGATAGGTGACTCGCAAGAACTTGTTCACAAATTGTTCGGTAAAAGCATGGAAGCAATCGCCAGTAGATGTCTAATAGGCTCTGCCGGATGAAGCCTCAACGACTCGCTGGATTCATAATCAAAGCAACTATTCCAAGAGGTGATCCAGGAGTGATGTGAGTCTTTCGGACTGGCACGTCAGTAAAGGGCTCCTTTCCCTCTCATTGATCCGTATTACTGAGTGCGTGAAGGTCATGTTGATATAAATAGGACAGGTAACATGTGCATGGACGTTCATTCTGGTTTGTTGTAGGTAAACGGTTCACCTGCTTCTCGATTATTCAGACCCGCTTGGTGCTTGCGTGTATGTCGTTCTTCAACGATTATCTTCTTTTCACAATCTGTTGTACTGAAGTTGATCGGTTAATACGATAGCCAGCACTTATCTCGTCAAAGAGCCACAAACATTCTCTGATCCTCCAGTAGCAACTGTATGAAGTCTGCTGCATAATCTTTAGTCTTTTATGTCTCCAATGTGTTATATGCTCCTGGAGTACGCCAACCAAGTTGTCTACTCGGGACGCACGAAAGACGTCACCCTCATTGAGCCTGTCCAGCGGACCGCTACGAGAATGGTTGCCGGCCTCAAATCCGTGGACTACGAAACGCGTCTCGCGATGCTTGATCTTTCCCCTGGAGCATCGTCGCCTCCGAGGGGACCTAATTCTTACTTATGCCATCTTTGAACAAAGCTTGGCAAACAGGTTATTTACCGTTGACCCAGCAAACACACGGCGGGGACACAGTGAGAAAATTTTCAATCTCAGAGCACATACATTCATTAGACAAAATTCTTTCTCATTTTGGATAGTAGCTCCGTGGAATGACCTTCCTCCGACGGTTCTCCACGCTCCTTCTAGAACTCAGTTTAAAGCACTATTAGACATTTATTTATGCGAATCATCGCGTTGGCAAGCACACTGCCCCGCACTGAGAACATAAAGAGCAGTGCTACACCTTTTTTTCACTTGTGCCTTTCAGGTGAACGACAGCCACTGACCGACAAGAACAAAACCGACCCGGGGAACTTGGGCAAAAGCCTCGATCCTGAGTATCAATCCGTGAATCCGTGATATATGATAAAGCTTACTCCTTGCTATCTCGCTTCTCCTGTGTATCTGGTTGACTATTACCCAAACAGAACTTTTGGATATCTCATTTGAAGTGAATGCCTCCACATTTTAGTGGTCAATGAGCTGAATCAAACTCACAGATCACTGGTGACCTACACTGGTTTCCGAAAGTACTGAACCAAGTCAGGTGCCATGGTATCCTAAGCGGCGCTAACTTAAAGTTGACCTTGAAGGCAAACGGTATTGGCGCACAATATTCGGACAGCGGAATTGAATTTTCGAAAGCAGCAACGTGTTCCTGGTGCACTAAAAGAGATAGTTAATTGACTTCAGAGTATTAGTACAAACCTTTGAGCCCTGTCTAGGCATACCGAGGTCTCAGAAGTGCTAGGAAAGTGTTTCACTAGACTTTTCCTCCAGGGGCCTGATTGCTTTGGCGGATATTGAAATTCGGTGAGCCGCGTAAACATGAATGCAGATTTGAGTGATTGCTGGCGTGAGCATATTTGCAACGAAATATAACATTTTTGCGCAAAACGTTTCATTCCACTCGCAAATGTTTTGCAAATAAGGGCATTGTGCGGCCAATGGGTCCCAACTATATTAGCCAAGCTGCACTGGTCGAGGATACCAGTTTTGTGGCAGACAGATCACGAGCTCGTTTCTAGTGCCCATTAGAATCCGATTTTCCGTGCAGGAATAAAGATGGTCGAAAACGAGGGAGTGGATAAACGTCAAACATATGCAAGAAAGAA